AATCAACCTTGCTGGAGATCCAAGTTCCACCATGTCAAACGACACCAAGATTCCCAGCTTGGTCCATCCCGGACACCTCTCTTTGGTACTCACAGTGCCACTAGGCTTGTGCCAAATGAGAGGATCCCTATGGCAGCAATGCCACCCAGTCGACCATCCTTTGTCGACAACCACCACCACTGTCTGACAGCAGCAACAATGTCACACCACAGATGAGTCCAAGGTTCGAACCACTATGGTCTCAGTCTCCCATGTCTCCAAGGCAATGGGGAGTCCTCACGTGTTTGGCATGTGGTTCCATCATGTGTTTGCTTTCCATGATGGCCCATAGGATTGGAGCCCTCCAGTCTGTGCTGCTAGCACCGTCTCTGGATTTTCGGACGGGCAACTAGACTACGTCCCTGTCTAGTACAGCCCATCCATCCCATCCGTCAAGGGACATGATTGCGGGGCAAGAAGGCCGCTCCACTGAGAGCTTGCCACCGCTGAATTCGGCCTGTGGCAAAGCCACGAATATTTGTCTACATATGAAGAAAACAAACAACAGCTATGATAGCAACCAGCACCGCCGACACCTTCTAAGTCTGGCAATGCTGATGGACCAGGCAACTATTTGCCTACCTTTTGGTCTAGCAACTGACCAACCATGCAAGTCCCTCCACTTGTGAGATCTCCCATTTCACATTGTGTTCCACTAGCAGCCGATGCTGAGTGGCCCATGGATGTTCCGTTCATGGGGAGAGTATGTATTGTAGTTAGTTAGTAACTAGAGTCGTACCTCATGGCTTATCCATGAGAGCGGATCCATACGCACTCGTGGGGAGCGATAACTTTTAGGAGTGAGAGCTCTGGATCCCGTCAGAGATAGCTCCAACAGCTTTGCTGGCCTACAGCTCCAGCACCCACAGCTGGCTTATCTCCAGCCAAAGCAGCAAGAAAGGATCGTCCTTTCCATCATAGTTAAGAAAATAGTACGAAAGATTGAGACCGATCCTGATTAGCTTGTAGCCCCTTTGATACCTGAGCAGTTGATTCCTATCCTGTTGAGGCCGGGCAGAAGCAGTAGGAGGTAGCAGATAGTACTGTTCCCAGACTGCCACTGCACGATTGAATAACGAAGCCCCCCCCAGCTCCTGAGGTGAGCTGGCCCAAAGGGCCCAGCAGAGAGCTCTGCTGGCCCTCCTGTCTGACTGATAGGGCCAAGTCCTTGGTTTGGGTGCCTACTGGAGGTGTTGGAACACTCCTGAGGCACGACAAGGCTCCCTTGCTGCCTGACTACTGCTGTCCCTGAGGAAGGGCTCTAGCGAGACCCAGTCCACTACTTGAGTATTGGAACAAGAACTTATTGGAGAACTTGAGTATTTAGGCTATTGGATTACTCGAGAAGGAATCCAACCCGTAACCAAGAAAATAGATGCAATCCAGAATATCGCTCCTCCTACGAATAGGAAGGAACTTCGTAGATTCATTGGACTAGTGAACTACTATCGAGACATGTGGATCAGACGATCACATGTACTAGCACCACTCGCTACACTTACTTCCAAAACTAAGAAGTGGAAATGGGAAGCTGAACACGACGAGGCCTTTCGCAAGATGAAGAAAATCATCAGCAAAGAAACCTTGCTCGCTTACCCTGACTTCAACAATACATTCGTTATCCACACGGATGCAAGGGATACGCAACTGGGTGCAGTGATTTCCCAGAAGGGAAAGCCTATCGCGTTCTACAGCAGGAAACTCAATCCCGCTCAAACACGCTATACGGTAACCGAGAAGGAACTTCTCAGGATCGTTGAGACTTTCAAGAAGTTCCGTAACATTCTTCTCGAGCAGAAGATTGTAGTTTATACGGACCACAAGAATCTCACCTGCAAGAATTTCAATACCGATCGCGTTATGCGATGGCGCCTTATTCTGGAAGAATATGGCCCCGAACTTCGGTACATCAAGGGCGAACACAACATCGTCGCTGATGCGTTGTCGAGACTTAACATCTCGGACAACGATGGTTCTTCAGAACAAATGGAAGCCAGCGAGATTGCTGAGCTCATGGCCGCAGATGAAGAGGATTTCCCTAGTGACTTCCCTCTCTCGTCCCCCGAGATCGAACATCGCCAGAAGGACGATAACGATATCAAGAAACTCCTTAGGGACAAGCCAAACGACTACAAGAAAGCAACAATCTTTTCCCAGAGGGGATAAGTCCTATGAACTAGTAGTCAAGGACGACAAGATTGTTGTGCCTAAGGCCATGCAGAAGAAGCTGGTCGAATGGTATCATGGTGTACAGATGCATCCTGGCAAAACTCGCACAGAACTTACCATCAGTCAACATCACACCTGGAAAGGGTTGCGCAAGACTGTGCAGTCCGTATGTCAGCGTTGTCAAAGTTGCCAACTGAACAAACCCAAAACGCATAAGCTGGGATTGCTTCCTCCAAAGACTTGCGAGGAGATCCCTTGGGAGAGACTTTGTATTGACCTGATAGGTCCATACAACGTCGGGGATCCTAAGAAAAAGAATTCCTGTACACTTCATTGCCTGACAATGATCGATCCCGTAACCGGATGGTTCGAGATTGCTGAGATCTGCTCCAAAGCAGCAGACGAAGTAGCCATCATTCTAGAACAGACGTGGCTTACTCGGTATCCATGGCCTGCTGAGGTTATCATGGATAGAGAACGTGAGTTCCGCGCAGAAGTCGAGAAGACTCTCCGAGATGAATATGGACTTCGTCGCAAGTTCATTACCACACGTAACCCTCAAGCCAACTCGATGGTCGAGCGTGCTCATCAGACCATTCGTAACTTGATAGCTGTTCAAAATATCAAGTGTCAAGACGACCTCGTGAATGGATCCTGGGATGGAGTCCTCACGGCGGTTTGGTTCGCAATGAATGCCACGATTCATACCACCTTGCGTGCAATGCCTGCACAGCTCGTGTTCAATCGTGACGCGATTCACAACGTCCGTTTCGAAGCAAACTGGAAATACATCAAGGAACGTCGCCAACGACTTATCCAGAAAAACAATGATAGGGAGAACGCGACGCGTGTCCCTCATCAATACAATGTCAACGATACTGTGATGATTCAACGGTATCAGCACTGCAAGTACGGTCAGCCAAAGTACAAAGGTCCTTACAACATAGACCGAGTCAATGACAATGGCACTGTACAGCTCCGACATGCTACCGCCAATGGCGGCACAGTCTACCAGACTTGGAACATAAGGTATTTACACCCATACAAGGCCTGATCCCCTTGTAGGATTGCCATTGTGCGACGCACATGTCTACATCCAATCTCCGGAGAGTGCCCCGCACTTTAAATCATATGCTCTCCTTGTCCGACTGATGTCGTGCCTCCTGTGACCCTTGTCAGGGGGCGAATGCAATACACGGCTCTTAGCCTTATTCGCGACTCGATCCTAGATAGGGTTTGAGTTCGACTCATGACGTAGCCTTTCGCGAATAGTCATTGAGACAGGGTTCTCATGACTGCTAGTCATACTAGGTTGTCGATGAAACATCGCTCTAGATATTTAGCCAGCGTGGAAAGCTTCCACGCTACTAGACAGCTACTAGCTGAAGTTTCCACGTGTTCCGGAAATGGACCGTGGAGTACGTAGAGTTGTTACCATAACCTACGATATCACACTTCGAGGCCTCCCGTGGGAGACCAACTTCAATGAGCTTCACAACGATCTCTCTCATGGATTAGTTTTCGTAGCTTTCTAATCTCTCTCATAACTTTCATTCTCTCAAACTCAAAACACTCGAAAGATCTTTACACTAGCTTTTAGCGTAGTGCACAACACATGCATGTAATTCGGCTACATGGTGCCTTGTAGCTAGCTAGCCAGCCATCTGTTCCTCTTAAGATCTTTTGGCCAGGCTACCATTAGGGTTAGGGCTAAAAGTTTAAAGACAAAGAGACAGAGACAAACATACTGTACAAATAGAATTCACAAGCGCTTTACATCCGTTAAGGGCTATTCCTTCTAGCTCCGCTACCTGGAGTCAGACTCGGTACAGCGCCTACAGGTCCGAGGCAGACGGGATAAGGCCCCAAGTTTGCCCAGGTTGCTCGATACCAGCTAGTTAGAGAGTAGAAGAGCAGATATTCTTTCTGTTTGCTTTCGTGTACATGTACCATCTGAACTTGAATCTTTTGTTTGGAGCGAACAACAGAGATGGGAATCTCTCAGCACTGCCATCGCTGCAAGACAACCCTAATGTGCTCGCCTTGTTGATGAATTCGACAACAGCCATCGACCAACTCCATCCACCGACTGCCTACATCATGTGCTGTACAGGTACCCTGGCTTTTGCCCATGGCGCCTCCCCTCTGCTTGATCCCTTTGGCCAACTAGAGAAAAAGAATAATAACTCCAAGTAGCTAGCTAGACTAGTCTACGATATCGAGATATCGGTGAGAATAATGAGTCCTGGACCAAATTCCAGCTGCGGCACTACCAGTACCACAGGACGCAGGGACTCGTAGTGGTGGCCCAAAATATGCATACCGGTACCCGCCACCTGGCTCTTGCAGCCTTTTTAGTCGCTCGTGGTTTCTCCGCAGTCATTTGGAAGGAACACAAAAGCTTTTCTGGGAACAAATTTTGGTCTTTATCAATGTCTCGGAGCGGTTCTGTATTTAAGCCTATGCAGTGTGGGCTTATTTGTCAGTTGTTAATGGTCTGTCATGGATTGCACGACTGGGAAAGGTTGGACTTAGGCATGCAGTTTTGGGACTGAGAGAAATCACACAAGGGGAACACACACGCCGAAGCGAAAACCAGGCACTGTGCCCAGCAAGCTGAGTGCCATTACAACGACTTTCAATCAACAAGGTTGTGGAAAGGAAGGTTGTCAACAGCAACAGCAGCAACAGCAACAACACCAAGAAAGCAACCAACTAATAACCACGCAGCAGCAACAGCAATAGCAAGAGTAGACAAGCCAACCAAGAACCTCCAGGACCCTCACATGAATATGAAGTTTCTGTTCCGCAGCAGCAACAAGCACAGCAAAACCGCAACGCCCCCGGTTGCTAGTACGGTTCCCACGCACAGCCAACACTTGCGAGCCGAGAATGAACAACCACAACCGCAGCAACCACAACAGCAACAGCACCAACACGATGACATGGCTCTCTGTGAGTCTTCTACTCCGCATGTGAAGAAACCCAAACATCGCAAAGGACGGCAAAAGCAGCAAAAGCGGCGCCAGTCGCTGGAAGCCATGGATGTCCCGTTGCGTCAGTCCCGAGCGGCACTCAGTAATTCCCTCATGAGCACAAGCACCGCGAGTACGGTCCGGACCGGGTTTACCACGAGCAACAACAATGCTGGCAATAGCAATACAAACGACAGCAACAACAACAACAAGACTAGCCGCCATAAGAAACCAGTCTCCATCACCCTCAGCAACAGCTCCAATCAAAGTCGGGTCACAAACGGTACGGAAGCGACGACGTCCACCATGTCGACGCGGTCCGATTCGATCACGACCAATCGAACGTCCACATCGACGACGGTGCATAGTTCCATCACGACGCGGGGGTCCATGTGGAGTGGTGGGTCGCCATCGTTTGCAGGGAGTGTCACTACGGGTAATAGTACGGGGGGATATCACGGGAGAACCATTCAAATGATCAAAAGTCAGCAATGGGGAAGTCATAGAAGTCTAGATGATGATGATGATCATCATACGGGCAGCGACCATGCTCTGCAGGAAGAAGAGGAAGAAGCTTTCTTCGAACGGACGAGTGCCAGGTCGGTCGCTGCTTCTTTGGGCAAGGCAACCCAGGGGTCACAGGAGCTGCAGGCAGTAGATGAACATCAGTCCTTTCATCAACTGGAATTCGACCAGCAAAGTTCGTCATCGTCGTCCTCCTCGTCGTCCTCCACACCCGAAGAACAGTCTGCGCAGTCGAGTTCACGAGACAGGGACACTGTCACCGTGGGAACGGCCGTATCCGCAATCTCGGGCATCTCCTCACTCTACGAGATTTCGTCGTCCCACGATCCCCTGCTAGATGGGACACCACACCCGGAAGCAGACCACGACCATGTCCTACTGCCGCCTCCATCCTCAGCATTACACCAGATGTCTGCCTCACCAGCGCCGCCAACCACAACAACGACACTGCCGCAGTCGTCCTCATCGGCCGCGCTTCGTCAACAGCATCAGCCATTTCCCACAAACAACTACTTGGACACGTCCATTACAGACCCGAAAAAGGATCATGCCTTCCAACTCGTACCCAACATTCACAAGGAGCTGGGGATGGTCCATCGAGATTTCAATTCCATCAAGGAAGCCACCACGCACTTTCTGACGCAAGACAAGCGGCTCAAGCCCATTCTCAGTCTGGACATCGAACTGCCTGGAAACTTGCATGCCGGAAGGACCATCTTTGCACATCCACTCATTGTCGAAGCCATCGAAACATATTTTGCCGTCGTGACCAATACGTTCGACACGCTACCACAAGAGTTTCATGCCAATGTCAAGGGAGATCGTCACGACGATCATCATGATGTCAGCGAATCCACCAGCACGTCGTGTTCCAAAATGAGGGGCAACTACCTGTACACGCGCATTCGTATTTTGGATCCATTGACCGGATGCGACCTGGTTCCCTGCGTAGATGATCGACACTTGTCCCGGGCGGCTCTGTTGCAGGCCATGATGGATGCGCTCGCCATGGTATGTCCCGACCAGCCGCTACCACGGTACCTGACCAACCTGTTGGAAGAAGAACAGGCCACCATTCATGCGGCGGCACTGTTCCATCGACGACAAGATTTGAATTACTATTACGGAGCTACAACCACGACCATTATTGCCGAACAAGAATTGGCACACCATCATCACACGTTGTCCCAAGAAGAACCAAAGGCGCCCATGGCTGTGTTTGGACTGGAGCATACGGCATTGGGGGAAGTTGTCTTTGCCGAACTAGAAGGGGTTCTATCGACGCAGTGTGGATGGGTCATTCCGCAATTGTCGTCCTCGTGCAAAGCAGCCCCAGCCAGCGCAGCAGCCACGTCCGAAACTACTGCTAGTACAGACAAAGACAAAAAGGACCATCCACCGGACCGACAAGCCGTTATTTTGGTGTCTTATGATCCTCACCGACTCAGTTATTGTACGCTGGCCAAGTTTGCTGTGCAACAGCATGCTCTTCAGCGATTGGGAAGACCGTCTTGTCTGACGTTTTACTACACCAGTCACGAACAACAAGTGGCGGCACAAATGCACACGCGAGCACACTACCGACAACTTATTGCACAGGTGGACCCCAACAACCCGGCACAGCATTATTACAACACTAGTTGCAATAGCAGCACGACGAGTGGGTGCGGTTCGTCGACGACCTCTTCTGCGTGTCCACCGTCACACGAGACAATTCGGATTGTTCCCTTGCAACAACGAGACCACAAGGGAGAACCGTTACACGACAACAATAATGACAACAGTCGTCGTCGCAATGGCGGGAAAATGGGCATCAGCGGCAATGGCAGCCGCAGCAGCGCCAGTTCGACCGGAAGCAGTTCGGAAGAATCCCTCACAGCCATCATCCCCAGAGACAACAGAAAGAACAATTCGAAGAACAAGACGCACCCTGGATACAAGGTGCCCAATTACGATGGCGTCGTGGCACATGCTGCGGCCAAGGCTGCTGCGGAGGCTGCGGCGGGCAAGGGGACGGTTCAGCGGTATTCTTTCGTCCTGAAGACCATGTGTGGCGAATCGTTACAGCTTCAGTGCAGCAAACCAGCCCTGAGGGAAAGCCACCTGCGGTTTGTTCCTCTGACACCATTTCAAGCGACCCGCGCGAATCAGTTGGTGTGCCAGGGCAAGTTTCATCTCGCCATGAAGTTGTTATCGCCACGACAAGGAATGGTTCTGATGCATGCCCTGAGATCCGGCAAACCGAGGAGGTGTCTGGCATGCAGCAGCAATCCAAGAACATCAACAACGGCTACTGCGTCTACCGCGACGGGGAAGAAACAAGCGCCGCCGGCTGCAGCTTCGCCCAAGAAAGCGAACAACAAAACGACACCACCCGACAAGAAACCATTGCCAACAACAAAGCCAAAACAACCCTCACCGACGAAACCCGCCAACACGACCAAGGCAAGCACCAAGTCCCCAGCCACAACGAGCAATGCGTCGCCCAAGAAAGGCAAAGCAGCGTCACCGGGAGCAAAGTCGGGCACAGCTCGCAGGGTGTCGACCACGTCTATCGAATCTGGGGCGTCTTCGTCCAAACCGTTAAAGGCGACGAATAATGGCGGCAAGAAAGCCACGCCAAAGCGAAGGTCGTCTGCCAAGCCAACGACAGCAACCCCCAACAACAAGGCGGTTCCAAGCAACTCCAAATCGACGCCACCCAACACGAGACAACTGCGACGCGTGGCTACCACGGATGGTCTCAGCCCAATCAGAAAATTCCCCAGACAGGCGCCTCGCATGTCTCTCAACACGGAAGCCTTGCAGGCATCCATCGGAGCTGCAGCGGCATCGTTGCAGCAAGAAGAGGAAGCAGCTGCTCGGCGAAGGTCATCCCGGCGGTCCTCTAGGCGCGCTTCCTCTAGGCGATCTTCAAATAGCATCGTCAGTATCGGAGAGCCGTCTCCTCCTGTCGCCACCATTGATACATCCAAATCGTCCTCTACCTCGTCTTATCATGCCGCTGCAGAGTTCCACAGCAAGACAGATGATATTTTGTACAAGGATGTTGTGGATGTTCCTATATTGGAAGCTTGGAAGGCGTTTGTTGTTTTTCCGGAAGGTTGGCCTGCCGATGGCGAGGACGACGATGACTCCTATTTGTGGGGAATGAATGATGTTTACTCGCAGGATGGTGATGACCGTGTGTACTATACAAGCGACGATACCTACAGCATTGGCAGCTAAACATTGCAATCATAAAGCTCATAAAGCAAGCACTCATACTTATTTATCGATTCTTTGTGTTTCGTATTTGATTCGATTCATTCCATGAAGCCAGCAGTGCAAATCATGTCGGGTGCTCGAAGTCATTGTTTCAACACCTCTCGGATGGCAAGTAAGGCAGACAGTGCGCAGTGCAGTGAAGGCGTCTTCGTTCTTTGGTTGGTCCCTCGACAGATTATTGTAGTTGCTGCTTCTGCCAATAATGAGGGTCCCTGCCAGGATATTCCAGCTTTTTCGAGACTTGCTTCTTCGTCTCTTCCCAGCATCCGGCATTTTGTCTGCTCCTCTATTCTCCAACCGTCTTTGAACAGGCAGAGCACTGCCTTTTGGAAACAACCCTCCACCCACAAGGATGGTTATGTGGACAGGGAAAAGGCATTTCAAGATGACATGTTGGACACATAAGGTTGGCCCCACAAGACTTCCTGGTCAATCTCTCATCTCTATGTACCCAGCGATGATGATTGGGAATAACACAATCCTCAGTTCGGCAAAGAGAGTCTACTGTGTACTTGATGTCACTTTTGTAAGGCATGTTGGTACCACGCATCATGATCACTGGAAGACGGTAGCCATGTCCAAGCACCCTGGCATGTTTCTTGTTGCTGTTCAATTTCACACAAGGAGTCTTCATCCATGACTTCTTGGGTAGCTTTCTAGTTCTGTGACGCTGGATTACCCCAACCCATGCTTTGTGGAAGTCCTTCTCCATGTGTGGCAATGGTGTTGCAGCCAAATGTGACACGGAATCAGCAACTTTCTTCTCTTCCTTTTGCACACTCTTGTTCTGGGAAGATTCAGACTGGTTGGTTTCATGGTCCAGGTTGGCCACTTTTTGTCATTGTTGTTTTCCTCTTGCCTGTTTTCAGCATCAATTTCCAAGGACTTGGAGGCAGCATTGGCTTCTGTAGCAATCATGACAGCAACATGGCTGCTTGCTGTGCAGATACATGCAGTATTTGATTCACAGTCTCACGATGGATCTGTTGCAACTTTGTCCTGATTTCCAACATTCTGGCACGCATTGCAGCTGACCTGCGCAACAAGTGCCCATTGGCAAGCGGGGACATGAGAACATGGCAGTGGGATTTCAAGATGACATGTTGGACACATAAGGTTGGCCCCACAAGACTTCCTGGTCAATCTCTCATCTCTGTGTACCCAGCGATGATGATTTGGAACAATGCAGTCCTCGGTTCGGCAAAGAGAGTCTATAGTGTACTTGACGTTGGTTTTGTAAGGCATGTTGGTACCACACATCATGATCACTGGAAGACGGTAGCCATGTCCACCTACGCGTGCAACTGCTTGTTTGCCGTTCATTTGCATGCAATGAGTGTCCATCCATGACTTCTTTGGAAGCTTTATAGTTCCATGTTGTTGGATTAGCCGGACCCAGACTCTGTGAAAGTCCTGCTTCACATGAGAGGAGGGAGCAGCGAGTTTTTTATCTTCTTCTTTTTCACTGCCGGATTCGTTGCTAGTAAAAGGTGCATTCTCCTGCGATTGGTCCTGTTTTCTTTTCTTGGCAGTATTTGTTTTTGACGACATGATAAAGACTTGCCCTTGCTCTTGTCTTGTACTGTCTGCTTTGCAGGGAAGATTTGCTACTAGTCAATCTCGCTATTTCAACCTTCCAGCCAAGCCAATTTGCCTCAAGGTGCAGCCAGACTTGGTAGTCGTAGCTAGCTGGCTACAAGCTAGTACCGACGCATTGAAAAACTCTGGTATTGTAGTTGGGGAGCCCAATAGATCAATGAGAAGATGGTAAAACACCAAAACAAAGGCTACGCGGCAATACTCCATAGTGTAAGGCTCTGCCGCGTAACCTTTGTTTGGTCATTTTACCATGTTCCTGTTGAGAACAAGGACTCCCCGAGTGACGTGAGGGGTGAAATGGTCCTTTTCGGCAAAATGTGAGCTCAAAATGTGAGGCTTAGTTTTAAACTAGATGGCCGACTCTCCAGTCACAAAAAGTCTTTGTTGATTCCCATTTAGTCATTGCATCCAAAGAAAATCGCATCCCACCAAGGGCATCCCTTTTCGATCATGTTTATCAGTGTCAGCGACCATGTTGATGACTCCAATGGTTCCGTGAGAACATGCCACTCCTCTCACAACACGTAGGATTGATATTTGACAATGATGTAATGCCTCTTTGACAGATGGGATCGATATTTGGGGCCATGGGCATCCGGTTCGTGTCCATGTTGATTGCCGCAAGATTCAGTAAGAGAGGAGCAACAGATGGCGTCGCAACGGAAGAAGATCCAATCGATCAGTCGGAGCATCGGAGCTTTTCAGTTCAGTCAGATGGCATCTCATTATTTCGAAACTCCTAACAGCAAAAGCGTGGAAGCTCTGCCACAATGACCGCTCGACCGACCAGCCATCCGACCATGACGATCTGCCGTTCGCTTCAACCGATGTGGGAGCTGACACTTTCGGAAGAAGATTGATGCCTGCCGCTCCAAGACGATTTCATAAATTCCGGACAAGGCTCTGCCGAAATCCCGACAGCCAATGGCCATCTGCCGTTCAGTCATTTGGATTCTTTCTACTCGCCGCTGCTTCTTGTGCGTCACCGTCGTCGCCGTCATCTTACAAGGATTTTCCGTCGGATTCCTTCGCCAGCAAACTTCCGTCGTCGGATTCTTCAGGCTTCCACCATGGCGGGCAAGCGCAAGAACAAGAAGAACGGGCACACTCATCGGAAGAAAGGGAAGAACCGGTCCAAGGATGAAAGGGCTGTGTGGGCCCGGCAACAACAGCAACAACAGCAAGCCGCCTTGCAGACTCCCCATCTAGTCACTCCTCATGTCACCACTGGTCCTTTCCACAATGAAGATATTGATGGTGTGCTTCCTCCTCCCGCCGCCTCCCTTCGCTCTGCTGCTCGCAAGCCAACCACGGAGCAACCGGATGATGAACGACTGAATGAACTCTTGGGTCCCCCTTCTGATGATGAGCAAGAGCCTCCTTCCGACGATGATGATGCTGCAGCAGCAGACCTTCGTCTCACTCCTGAAGAGATGGAATCTTTCCTGAGTCAGCAATCCTTTCTTCACCATGACCGTTCAGAGCGCATTGCAACTTACCACCTCTATTGCCGGGTGCACAACTTCCCTTCGGATTGGACTGGAAAGGGCAGTACTGGATTGGCAATCAAGGACGCTCTTGGGATGAAGACGCGGAAGCCAATCAAGAATATCTTCGGAGACATCAATTACTGTGCCAAGAACGACCTTGAGTATGTTGGTCAGCGATTCTATTCACGGTTCAAGCCCGTCAAGATTCCTGATGGCTCCAAAGCAGCTGAGACTATCGCTACTTTGATTGAGTCACGAGGAGACAGTCTCCGAATTGCAACCGACACACTCAACGAATGTCGAATTGATGATGGTGTGGAGCCGTACTCTGATTCTGCTGTCCGTGAATTGGTCCAGCGTCTCCCAAGCCGGAAAGTTCCCATTCGCAAGATGAAGCAAGGGAACCACGACAAAAATTCTCCGTGGGCTCGACGCCGCTTTGCCTGGGTTTATCAGTTGCTACTTCGACTCGGCGCGGAGAAGGAGACGGAGCCTCATGACCTGTTCGAGCTTCCACCTTCCATCCTGGAGGTGCCCGAGACTCTTTTGAACGAAGAGGAGCTCAAGTTATACGAGGAGGATGGGACTCTGCCGATTTACTTTGATCCTCAAGCGCTGTTTACTTATCGTTTTGGTCTGCAACATGTCGCTTCTTGAGATGAGATGCATCGGAAATGCATCATCGGAACCAGCCACGCACAAGTCGGTCGTGATTATCAGCTGCAGTTTCTACGCGATGCGGATGGCAACTTGAATCCGAATGGGACTTATGATCAAGCGTCGCCTGCTCACAAACTGAACGTCAAGTTTGAGAAGGAGGGTCGTTGGAGTTTCGGAATGGCAATGGTCGTCGACGACAATGGTGGCAAGGAAGGATACGTCTTGGAACCTTTCGATTACACTACCAAGCTTCTCGTCTCCTTGAAGCAATACCGCAAGCTTGTCAAGGAGGAGATTTCCCGTGTCAAGAAATTGGGTGATCGTCCAGCCAAGTCAAATGGTTGGTTCGAATCGGCTCGTGAGAATGACAAGCTCTACATGGACGACTATCTTTGTCAAGGCATGATCAAGGGATGCGCCAAGACAATCATCGGGAAGATCAAAGTCTTTGAGATCCACACCGTCCGTGATTTTGCTGAGGCCTCCGACAGTGACATTACTCGAATGTCAAATGGTGTCAACGATCGCGGGAAGAAGATGGCAAAAGTTGGAGCAAGCGTCAAGAGACTCAAAGGATGGCGTGAAGAATGTCGACAGGGCATTGAGGAAATTCCCGACGACATCGATTATCGCACGGAAAAGAATCCGTACCTGGCTCGTTACGGTGATGAGTGGCGGCATTTCATCCAGAAAGCCAAGGGAATCTCAAGTACTGTGTGTGTCACGGAACTTGTCAAGCACATCTACGAACAAACCCAAGCCCACTTTGAAGAGTTTTATCCAGACCTTCCGTCCAGTCGTTGGTACTTTTATCATGACGCTTTGTCCCAGATGACGAACAAGGAGTGTGTCGCTTGGATGAAAGAGCATGACTACTACGATCACTGGCTGCTTCCTGTTTACGAGATGTCTGTGACTGGAGAATGGCGTGACGCTTTTCCTAGTGGCAACAGTCCGGAGATGATGCCATGGGACACAAGCTGCAATAAGTATTTGAACGACTGTGTCAACCGTCACATTATCATGACGAGTCATTTGCCCGATGATGATTCTCGCAAGTTACTATCTGCACGCCGAAGCGGGGGCAAGAGGCTTACATGCGCTGTATTGATGGGGCGCCAACCAGCAAACAGATCTGCACTGACATCCTCAAGTTCGCCCATGCTCTCAAGGAGATCTATCGAAACGAGGGAGCAATTGTGCATCGATTGGGCGACCGGACTGGTTCGCGTGGCCAGAGTGCACGGGCTGCTTTGGCAGCTGACGGGAAGAAGGTGGATCGTCGTGGAGGACCTCGTTATCGTGATATCGAAAAGCAGATCAAGCGCATGAGGGATGTGTGGTGGCATGACGATGCGGAGTCTGTTTTGCGTGGAAGGGGACAGCCAGAGATTGATTTGACGAGTGCCGAGGCTCAGGCGGCACTGGACGAGGAGAATCCCTTGGGCCTCCTGTTGTTGTTTGCTAGTAATACTGCAGCTTATTGGGGAGTAATTTGGTTTTAGATTAAGCTGAAAAGCAAAAGTGAGGATTTTCTGGTGGTGCATAGCAATTCTTGTGATTGAATTGGATATAGGACCCCGCAACACTTTAGACCTAAAACTCCCTTGGTTCCTTGCATGATCAATTTGCATTGCGAACCGGACTAGATGATTAATACACGATCAATAGTAAAGAGGTGTCAGGTATGTTTCCTCCAACCACACTCCTGCACGGTGCCCTAAGTGGCTTCCGTGGAACGAATAAAATAAATTAGGCAATCAAACAAGGGGTGATGCCCCATGATGAAAGCCCTGTGCTCGTGGAAGAGCTTGCCCTGAAGGGGCTTCGTGAAAAAATCTCACGCATTTCCAAGGTTGGCAGTACACAACTCTAAGGTTGCCTTTTCCAATCTGGTCATGAATAAAAAAGAAACGAATGTTGATAGCCCGAGTCTTTTGCCCGAACTGCCTTTGCCATTCTCTGCAAGATGATCGTGCTTTTGTTGTCCTGCATGAGGTGTTGTCTTCACAACGATCCCTGCTCTTCAAGGAACAACTTTGCCCACACATGGCGACATGACATCGTCAGTCCAATCAATTCCGCTTCGTGCTGCTCCTCGAATTCAATTTCTGTTTCGCAGACACAGACAGCACCGCACCACTTCAAAGGACATGACTCCTCCTGTATGGGAACGGTAATCAGGATGGACTGCAAATAGCATCCACCCACCAAGTGATGACGATATTCTCAAATGTAGTATCAACTTGTCCTGCGCCGTCTGATCCAAAAACTTGAGGCCTTGGACCAACTTGTCCCAATCATCAG